TTTCGTGCGAACGAGAGGGCAAAATTCAACGTCCTTCGTGCAACGATTACGATTCGCGTCGCTCGCAAGCGGGACGGCAAATTTTCGTCAAATTAAATTCCCGTTTCCGTTCGAGGATCCGTATATCGGTTTGACTCTTCGAAAAATACTCGGCTTTCAATGCAACGGGAAAAGAGGAGGCGAAGAGAGACAAAGGATAGTAGATACATTGCGAGCAAAGAGAAAACGAGCGAGGGCTGTTCGATTTTATTGGTCCTCTCTGGATGCGTGTAACGTCGACCAACACTCCGGGGAATCGCACGCATTTTTTTTTTTTTTTTTCTTCCAACCCCCGTCTATCGTGCGAGATGTCTGCTTTTTACGATGCCACCCGCTGTCGTGCCCGAAAACAGGGGCCAGATTTAACAGAAACCAGGGGACAACGCGACGATTTTTTTTGAAAACCTTGGTAACGTTCGTAAGTTCGAATTCTTAACGAGACTTTCTTTTAATTGCAAGACGTTCGAAGAAAACGCAGAACGTGAAATTCTCTGTCACTTAGATATGACAGTGACAAATTGTTATAATGTAACAATTTTAACTGTAAAAATTTGACAGTAATTCTAATAATTCGCTGATAATTCTAAAAATAATTCTACCGATCGAAGCAATGATCTCAACTTCGATAAAATTATCTCGTATCTCCGAGAGAAGAGCAATTATTTATTGCAATGAACTAACTTCGTAAAATTCTGGAGTGACAACAGTTCTTTTAAATCGTCTTAGGCGATGGAAGATTGTTAATAATTGTTTTGTCTTTATGAATTTATTTGGAAGATGAAATTTAATTGATTGACGAAATAAATAATTTTTTTAGAAAACATAGGTTGTCGAATTTTCTGTTACCTAAGTGTGATAATGATAATGAATTATCACCACATAACAATAGTAGTCAGTATTACTGTTTAACAATAGTTAAACAGTAATATAACGATATTGCAAACTATTAAACGATAATAATGTAATAATAATAACTTCAACTACAACTGTGTTAAAATAACACTAAAACATCTGACAGAAATTCTGATAATTCTAGAAATAATTCCACCGATTAAAGCAGTAATTTTAACCTCAACTCCGATAAAATTACCTCCGTGCCTCTGAAAGAAAAGCAATTACCTGTATTACAATAAATTCTTGGATAATATTCATCCGGAAATCCTTATCCTGGAATAGCAATTATTTTAAATCGTTTAGAAGATAGCACGTTACTTCTAAAAATATTTAAAAGATGAAATTTAATTAATTATAAAATAAACAACTTTTTTAGTAGTCGCTAATTTTAGAAATTGTCAGAATTTCTTACATTACGTTTAGAATTTTGAACACTTTACTGATAATTCTGCACGATATCCACTTTCTATTTCATCGTCATAACACCTTTCGGAACAAGCATCCCCTTTTTTCAAGAATCCAAGTTGCCAAGCGTGGAGAGCAAAGAATGCCGAGCGTGCCCGATTCCGAGCAATATACCGCAGACGATATTTATAATCAATATGGAGATCCCTTATCTCCTTGGAAGTCGAAAGGCAGGCAGAGCATTTTGCTGGCGGATGGCTAAGCCAAGTGAGAGAAGAGGAGCAGGGGAGCGCTGCAAGTTTAAATTTGCACTTGGCACCTGATCGGCTGACGTAGCATGGAACGAAGGCGGGGTGCAACTGTAGCAAGGGGTGAGAGTATAATTCGCTCGATTATTTAATAGCTTGGCCTGGCGCCTGGCTACAACGCAGAGCGGTGGGCCCTGGCCCACGGATCCTCCTCCTGCGAGTCGCAATCTATATTAAAGCCCCCATGGCGAATTACTCATTAGTGGATTAACGAGCTACCGCCGTGCCACGATGTTAATTGGACTTTGCCATAGGATTGAAGTAGCACTCGCTCTATCCTTCGATAGAAATGCCCAGAGAAATTTCGTCAGTTCTCGGGTCTCGAGATCGAGATCCGATCGGGGTTTCTTTCAAAAATTCACACAGAACGAAGATCTAGAGGCGCGAGCTAGCTAATTTTTGAAAATGTTCGAAAACCATGTTGTAACTCACTCGTTCGCACGGCGTTAAATAAATATTCGGTGATGGTTCGACCGGATGAAAATTTAACCAGGACAGAGTAGGGAGCAGAGTGGCATAAACGAAATTCTCTGTATCGCGAGAGGCTTAGGGATTAATTTATGGCCGCGCAGGTCGAACGTATGTATGTATGTATGTATGTATGTATGTATGTACGTCTACGCACGGCAAATGAGTCAGATACTCGCTTCTGCATATTCAATGGTATCGCAGCAATACACAATACGCGTGTATTTATCATAAACTCGCGTCTCGACACGTCGGTACATCGGCAATCAGTGCGCCCTGCAATTACCAACGCGTTGTCCGTTGCAAAAGTGCCAAAAGTCTATTTTACTAGTTGACTGAATTTGAAACGAGAGCACTCAGAGAGAACAGTTCAGAACTGTCGCACGATGCTAGTTTAAAACGAACCGTGCAGGGTGGTGAGATTATTGCCACCGGTGCCCAGGCCAGGGGATCACAATGTAATTTAGATTACGGCGTCAGAGATTACCGGGGACGATACCGATCGTTCCGCGATAAATTACGTTATAATCCAGATTATTCTGTGTGATGTCTCATCCTGTAAGCCACTGTGTCAAGTTCGGTACCGCGGGGTTCAATAGGGCTCGACTCGAGCTCCCCTGTTCAACCGGGGAATAATTCCGTTTGCTAATTATTAACATTGTCACAATCCAATTGTACGCTGGAGCGAGTTTGTGCTTTGTGTGGTTGGTCGGATTAGGCCCAATTTAACTTTGTTCTTGATCAACTCAAATTTGAAAAAAATTTGACTAAAACTACGAATCTATTATGAGGTATAAAAGTAGCAAAAATAGAATTGCAAAGAACGCGAACTTTCTTTCGTTACATTTTGCGTTTAGAATCGTTAGAAAATCTCCGAGCATGTCATGTTACTTGCAAATCTAGGGTGGGCCAAAAATCCGTAATTTAAAATTTAATTTAAAATTAATAAAATTAGTCTTTTTCTTATATTAAAGAAACAAAATAGGTAAGAAGAAAGTTTTGGCCCACCCTGCTGTACTACTAAAAAATTACGTTAGAATCATTACAAAAATCTCCGAGGATATCACGTTACTTGCAAATCTATAGGGTGAGTCGGAAATCCGTAATTTTAAATTTAATTTAAATTAAATTAGTCTTCTTATATCAAAGAAACAAAATAGGTAAGAAGAAAGTCTTTAACTCACCCTACTAAAAAATTGCGTTAGAATCGTTACAAAATCTCCGAGGATGTAACGTTACTTGCAAATCTATAGGGTGGGCCAAAAATCCGTAATTTAAAATTTAATTTAAAATTAACAAAATTAGTCTTTTTCTTATATTAAAAAAACAAAATAGGTAAGAAGAAAGTTTTGGCCCACCCTGCTGTACTACTAAAAAATTATGTTAGAATCATTACAAAAATCTCCGAGGATGTCACGTTACTTGCAAATCTATAGTGTGGGCCAAAAATTCGTAATTTAAAATTTAATTTGAAATTAATAAAATTAGTCTTTTTTCTTATATCAAAGAAAGAAAATAGGCAAGAAGAAAGTTTTGGCCCACTACTAAAAAATTACTCTACGAAGTTACATAAATTGGTCATGTTTGGCCACTTTTTGTCAACAAAAACGCAATAGCCTTTGAAGCTCGTATCCGACAATACTCGGCGATAAATTCGCGTAAACCGGCGTTCAACGTCTCGTTCAACGCCCGTGACGTTAACATCGCACGTCGGGCTTATTATCGCCTGGCGCGGAACGTTAATAAAGTTAGCTTGGTTGAAGCTGACGTGACGCTGGACGGAAGGAGCCGATCGCGTTTCGCCGGGATCAGGGGCGAGATCGCGGGTGCTCCGCGTTGCGTGAAACGTTGCGAAAGGGGGTTGGTGGACGCTTACACCTTCGAGGGACGTCCGTTGATGTGGTATTTGCGCAGGTGTACGAAACATCGAACGCCACAACGTTGTAGTTGGCCGTTGCGTTGTTAGGCAGTTGGATAACTCGAGACGCGGACGAGAGTGTTGCTGGCATGCCTGCGGTTTGCAGCTCAACGGTTCGATCGATCCTCAAGCCCACTCGCCGCGTCGTTTCAGTAAGAATTACGGTTGATCCGGTTGACACTCGTCCTCGGGATTAATTTATAATGTCCGAGGACGTTTTCGACTTCGAAGATTGTGTCAAGTTTGAGCTCTCGAAGCTTTATGACTGATTGCGAGACTCGAAACTGCTGTATGCATTTTAACGGTTCTAATTTTATTGGCGTTTTATCGATTTTCACCGTGCAATCGCCAGATCTTTCTTCGAAGTTTGGATTAAAGAACAAAGATGTTGGACGAAGGATATTTCAGAACATTTTGAACAACAGTTCCTTCTTTCGACAGATCAAAAATAATCTTTTTTAAAAATGAAATATTTTAAAATAATTTCTTTCGCAGCAAAGACACCTTTTGTTGTCGAGATGTTGTAAAAATTTTAACGCCCTGAAAATCAGTGAAAGATTTCAGAGGTTTTAAATGTCATTGTAAGGAAGAGATCTTCTTTGATCTTCAACATCATGATAGATTTAATCAAAAAGAAAATTTTTTTCAACGTTTTCAGAGGTATTCGAATTTTGACAATTTTCGGGAACTGTATCCTTGCTTCTCCGCTCGTTACGTAATATAAAAACTTTTACGAAAAAAGGTATAAACAGAGTGCTGTCAAAGTAGAGACTTCGCGCTTTGAAACGAGGCCAACTGGATCATTGCACGATCTTCTTTCTTTATAAAGTCACAACAGTTTCAAATATTGGTAAAAATTTCAAATATCGATAAATAATTTATAATTTTTCGTGGAGTGTTCACTTCCACGTATGTTTTCGTAAATTCATTCAACGTGCTTACGGAGAAACGTTTTTGTTTACAGGTGGAAATGGCGACAACGAAACTCTGGATCCAGACGTTCAGGACTACACCACCGACGAAGACTACAACGATGTCTTTGATGCAACAACCAACGGGTACTCTCAATTAAATAATAATAGCAAATAACAAATATCTCCTTTTCACTTCATTTTCGGAATGAATTTCAACTATATCAAACCAGATATAAGGCCAAAAATCACTCTCCCTGTTAAAATAAATCCGTAATTTTTCTTATTATATAGTTACAAATTTGCGAATCAACATCAACGAAAGAGATAGTTTTTAGAACGTAAAAAGATCTTGAAAAGTTTGAACTTAAATTCAATTTAAAATTAATAAAACTGGTTTTTGACGTTTTATTTAAAAAAAAAAAAAAATAGGTGCGAAGAAATTTTTACATCTATCGTCTAAATATAGTCGTTCCTCCAAAATTATCGAAATTTCAAAACTCGTCGGAAATTCTTGTTCCATATATGCTGTTTGTTGATAACAAATATTCCAAAAAATAAGCGAGAGACAAATACCGCGCAAGACACGGAAAATCGTATTAATTTTTGCGGACGCTCGTGATGAAATGTTCCTTTTTTTTTCTTTTTTTTTTTTTTTTTCAGAATATTGTTACGTTAATTTTTTTTTTACCCTTAATATTTCTGTATGCCCGTTTAAAATAGGATTT